AATGGCTGAACGCCAGAAAAGCCAAAAATATTTGAGGACAACTAGCTGTCAAAAACCTTCGTGATGTCTTATTGCACATCTTTATAAAGAGAACAGCCGTTCGCCAAGCGAATATAGCGGATTCAACTAGAATCTCGGCCTTCAAAGCTTCTCTTCCTTGAAATTTTCCGCGTCTTCTGGGGTGAGATGTTGTAGGAGTTGGTTCTCCACGAAATACGAAACTAAGAATGAAGAAATTTGCCCAAAGTCATCGGAAATATCGTCACTAAAGAAAGAAGACTCCCTTCAGATGAACGGATATACGTCACGCGACTTTATTTCCGCTCTGTTCCGCTTCAGATATCACGTTCGGCTTATCTCCGTTTTACATTCGTGGGACAGTCGAAGATACTCGAGTCTTTACGAGATGTTATCGAGTTATTTCGATTATTTATTTGAAGCAAAACCAATTTTCAAAATGGCGGCAAGTGTGCTGAGTTTGAAAAAATGATATTAAGGAAAAATAGCCATTGTTTATGTAGCCGTAATGACTAGCTTGAATAGATAACAGCTGCATTTGAAGCAGTATGAGCTCAACCTTGCCATGGTATTGTGATTTGCTTTGTCAATTTATAAAACATTTTTATATTTGTTGAAACATTGGATTTCCTGGAAGTTGAAGCGATGTTTGTGTAGCTTTGTGGTCGAAAATCAAGGGCTTTTCAATATCTGTTTAAAGATCTGCTGTGATATTGTATTTACAGAGTCAACCTTTGCAGAAGCCATCATTTCTTGTCATTGATAGTGATGATGATGATAACTGGATCATAGAATCTCCTATTAGTACTACACAAACTTCGAAAATAGCCAGGTTTAGTATTTTGACAGCATTTGTCTTTTACAAATTCCTTGTAAATTATTTTTTTGTGTTGTTAAATTTTACCAGTTGTGATATCACTTCAAAGAATAAGTATCTGTCAAACTTTTATTATCACTTTTATTATTTCCACAGTTTGACAAAGAAAAAGACATCAGTTGAAACAGGTATTTGATTGTGTGCCAGATATTTATATGACTTGAAAAAGTTACAGCAATGGTATTCTATGCAAATGGTCAAGGTACAGCACGGCATTGATGACATCCTTTGAACCACAAGTTGGACACAGCTGTGCACAAGTTACATAAAATATTAATGTGCTTTATTATCACTGTATGATATACAGTGATGCATCATGGGATATATTGGGGTAAACATGTGACTTGCATGCAATATTACCATGCATGTACCATGCATTTTATAGATCTCAGAAACAGTTAGACCTGTAATTGTCCCAAATTTGATTCATCCTTAAAGGAGACAATAAATTAAGGTGGCTGCCTACTTTTGAACGTTCGATTTGAGCCCACGATGTGC